ACGTCCGCACGAAATCTGCTGAAAAGATCAGTAGAATTCCCTTGGCAATTTCAGTGACTTCTTTGACTCTTGTGACATTGTTGTTGTTGATGAGGATCGAGTTTGTGTACAACAATTCGAAAGCGCTGGAAATAAGGCTTCAAAACCGAATTCAGCGGATTGAGGATGACCTGAAAACTAACATAGAGAGAATAGTGAAGAAGAGGTTACAAATTTATGAGACTGCATCCACAACAAGGAGAAAGGAAAGGCCTGATGTTATCTTTGGTGAGTCATTGGTTACACGTACATCAGTTATGTTAGCTTTTAATAATCAACACTATAATATACAGCATCACAGCACAAAATGATTTTATCGTTAGTTTGCCTCTCAATTCTATAAACAGAATACTCGCTATATGAGTATACAGAACGAAAATCTGTCTTAAGTTGTATTTTATTTGTTATCCTTCTGCCAAGGGTATTTTTGGAAAAGGTCAAACTCAACTGACGCTTAAAATCTGAATTATTTTCTCTTTTCACAAGCTTTATGCGAAAGAACACGCGGAAGGTAATCAGCAAGTGAACATGTTATTGTTTTGCTTTACTCAAGAAACTGTATGGTTATCGAAAACATCTGCTTTCACATTACGGTAGTGTAGCGTGACATACATTCGTGTATCATACCACTGAAGAATGCAGATTGGATCACGTAACATTTTGTTGAACCAAACCGAAGTTATAACTCCTATTGTTTTAACTTCCTGAAACACAACAGTATACATTCTCATTCTCTTGGACTAACGTGTCTGATCACCACCATTTTTTGGTACCGAAATTTTGACGACAGTAGAACTGTTAACTTTATTTAGCGAATAGGACTTTTTGGCAAATAGCCCGATGGTCAATTAACTTACCCGAAACTCTCACCTGAAAAGTCTCGTGACTAAAGGCAGCTTCAGACAGCCCTCGGGCTATTTTTGAACAAAATTTATAGAAGTTTTTTGTTATTTATTTTTGCGCCAGTTTTATGAGCATATGAATGTTTTAACATTTGCATATTTCTCTTTTGTCTTCATTTTCTCATTTTTTCTCATCACCGCAAACATCGATTGATAAACGACTACATCAATTTTGCTTATTCTTTCGCACTTTAAAATGCATTTCATTGATCCCATAATGAATATTTGTTATCGTAACTTCTGCAGGTTTTGAAAGCAATGTAAGAAGTGTGTCATCAGTTATCCGTGATCATAAAAGAGAGAGAAGAAATGTTGCTGCGGGAACAATAACTCTGCAGCAAGTCCGCCAGGAAATTAACAACAAGCTCAATCAATCCTGCAGTATTAACAACAAGATTTGTCAGACAGGACCTCCAGGTCCTCCAGGTGCCCACGGATATCCAGGGTACAAAGGAGAAAAAGGAGCCACGGGGAAAACCGGCTCACGAGGCCCTTCGGGTCCAATCGGGGCTCCAGGCGTGAGTGGCAAAAGAGGACCTGTGGGACCTCAAGGAGTAAAAGGCGACAAGGGCGACAAAGGGTCCGTTGGAGCGCACGGGATGAGAGGAGAGACTGGAACGAAGGGTCGTCAAGGACAACAAGGATCTATTGGCTTAAAAGGAAGCAAAGGCAGCAGAGGATTGGTTGGTATTCAGGGACCAAAGGGAGAATGTGTTGTTCCACTGAAGATCAGTGTATATCCAGTATCTCAGGAAGTCTTTGTGAACGAGCCTGTAATATTTTACTGTTGGGTTCAAGGCCATCTGTCGTCCAAGATAACGTGGCGTAAACTTGGAGGTACTCTATCTAATGCTACTGTGGAAGATGGTGCGCTTCGAGTAAGCAGCGTACAAAGGTCACACGCTGGGTCGTACATGTGTACAGCTCACACCAGTTTGGGAATGTTCCGAATATTAAGCAGATTGCATGTGAAAGGTAGGGTCTCTCAATTTTGAGCGATTTTCAGCTTTTGCATTCAGTTACAGAATAGGTAACGCTCCTAATATAATCATCATGGTTATTCAGGTCTATGAATCAAGACTTTTCTACAACCAAAAAAAAAAATAAACTGAATATAACTTTTTAAGATCTTCACAAAGCTTGTTTTGTGCCTGTTAAATTGTTTTTTTTCTTTCTTCAGAGCCACCTAAATTTACCAACAGGCCCCCTACAGTAGTCAATATATTGCTAGGATCTAATGTAACCCTCTGCTGCGAGGCCTCAGGTTCTCCTCGTCCAAACGTGGAATGGTTCCAGGCCCAAAAGTCTTCTGTCTCACTTCCTGTTTTTCAGGAAGATGGATGTCTTCTAATTAAAATGGTTAAAGAAGACGTAGATTTCATCTGCCGGGCTAAAAACAGCTTCGGATTGGCAGAGACATCAACGACGGTGATTGCAGAAATATTAAGAGGTATTATTTATTACTTTTGCTGCAAGGCTTTGAAATATGTAGCTGGAAGGTAGTGTCACTTGTCTTAATAGCGCGATATCTTTATTAAATGGGTCCAACATTTAAAAAATATCCCAAAACCGCACTTGGTTAGCTCATGGTGTAGAGCGCCGGACTGCCATGCGAAAGGTCGAGGGTTCCACACTCGGGATCTTAAAATAACTGAGGCGAATATGCTGCCACTACCTTGACATCTGCAAGTAGTTAAACATCGTTGTCTTCTCGGATAAAGACGATAAAATCTTACATCTCTCTTTACTAGTTAGCAGGGTACGTTAAAGAACCCACGCACTTCTCGCAAAGAGTAGCGAACATATCTCCCGGTGTTGTGTTCTGGCCTTGTTATTGTTTATACAGGCCCTATTTAATAAGCTTTAAAGCTGAACTGGGCCAACAAGTCTAAGTATCGCAAATAAATAAATTAATATAGTAAAAAAATAGATAATGCTATTAATGCTGCTATTTGTGCTAATTCGCTCCCTTCCAAATTGAGCGATTAAAACAGGCTGTAATATCTTTCTTTTTCAGGTTTGGAGCAATCAGTAATACTTACAAACAATATTCATTACCTGCGCACTTTAAGTTTTTGGTTAGGATCTGTTGTGCAGAGCCAGTCCTCTTACTGGAAGCGCTGCTGGCGAGCATCAGTGGATGGTTGGGCCAGCACTACCTTCCACTCAAAGTGTGACAACAAAGGGCCTACAGTGACCATTATCCGCGTGGGAAAATACATCTTTGGTGGATACACCAGCACATCATGGGGTAAGTGAATCATTAAATGCTTTCACTTCATTTTTTTTACTCAATGAAACATGCGTCCACTTTTTAACATTTGAAACCACACGCGGTTAATTCTTTTCAAGAACTCATGTAAGCGACTTAAAGTCTGTCCTCTAAAATAACTTGAACCTGAAAAGAAACTCTGACATAAAGTTTCTGTTGTCTGATTATCTGATTGGAATTAAATTTTGACACAAGATCATACTCCATTAGGAAAAGCTGTTCTCTGTATTTACGCAATAACTTCTTCTACCATAGAGAAAGGTTGAAGTCAAAAGGGAGAGGAAAGTTTATTCAATAGCTTTTCGTTTTATTGTTGTTGTTAACTAAAATACGCTCGTAAACGCCATTTCTCTATCGTTTTAAATGTTCTTCTGGCCAAGTGTTACAAATATTCACCTTCATCTCAGTTTACTGAAATAGTTTGTGACTCTTTTTTACCATTTTGCTTATTAGTTTCCAATTGTGGGTATCTGTACAGCTCAAAGGCCTTTTTGTTTTCATTGGTTAACAAGCCAGGCTGGGCACCAGTGAAACTGTCTCAAACAGGAAAGTATAGTTCTTATCGCCGTTCCATATACAGTTGTTCAAGCTATGGACCCACATTTGGTGGAGGAAGCGATATTTCCATTACCAACTACGCCTCATCCAACACAAATTCCTACACAAACCTTGGATACACCTACAGTCCACCATCTGGCCACAGTTATGGCAGCTCCTTCACCCGATCATTCCTGGCAGGAAGTTACAAATTTCAACCCGATGAAGTTGAAGTGTTTTATGAAAGTACGAAGTGAAGTAGCGATGACATTCAAAACTCCTGTTTACACCTATTTACCAACAATCGAAGCAGACTTTTCTGCCTGGGTTGCCTGTGGGCTAAGGCCACAAACTGAGATAAAGCTTGGACAGATCAGTTTAGGTAGTAGCACTAAACTGTGCTATTATATATACAGGTATCATCATTTTTAGTCTTTGGAGAGAGTTCGCAAATTGATCAAAGTAAACTCGTGATCAAAGTGAACTCGTGGATAAACTGTGAAGAATATTATAAGAATAGGCAGTGATTGTACTAAGCTGTCAATTATTCTGTGATTCCAAGATACAGAATCAAGCCATTATCTCCAAATTGATCCGCTTTATTTAACATTTATTTCGACCTGATGAAGTTGACGTGTTTTATGAAGCTACTTGAAGCAAACAAATTCCTATTTACTGACGATGGAGACAGCGTTTCCTGTGGCTTGTGGCCACAAAGATCAAACTTGAACAGATCAGGTTAGGTAATAGCACAAAACTTAGCAATTATGTATACGGATACCATCATTTTTACTCGTAGGGGAGAGTACGAAAATAATATGTAAGCTCTCCCCAGTCTCATTTGGCCGTGCTAACGCTATGAAATTTGCTCATCGAATTCTCATATCCACTATTAAAAAGGGCGAGATTTGCGTCATCTTGCACGATGATATTAGCGTGTTGCGCAGTATTTTTCCGAGCCCCGCAGGGGCGAGGGAAAATATGAGCAATGGGCAAAATGTCAGATCGTATTATTTGTCAAATCATCGATGGAGATATTTATAATTGCACGATTATTCCATTTTCTATTATTTCGGTGTGACCCTTGTGTTGCTCAGCTTTCCGTCCGTGCTCTTGCCTTGTTCTACAATGTAATGTCGAGGCATATTTTGTACGTTTCGTTGCCCTTATATGGTAAATGACGTCATAGTGAATAAGACGCTGAGATCCATGATACAAACTAATATTTAATACCTATTTCAATACAAGAAATTAGCTGAGTACTCCTCACATTATTCGATTCTACAAGTCTTGCATTAAAGTGCGTCATGCGGTTACGTGATGTTCATTTCCCTTCAGATCAAAATCAAACACAAACAGATGAAAAAAGTACGCCAGGTAAATGGCAAAGGCGTCAATTTGAGTTTTTGTCAATAACAGGTCTGGACAAGTACTACCTCAATATATCACATTGCAAGCTACGTTCACGTTAAAGTTTTAATTTGTGAAATTCTTTGACTGAGCTGGATATCGAATTTGAACCAATCCAAACACTGTTGTAATTTCTAATATGAGGACCTGATCTTACTGACCAAAGCCATTCTGTGAAACGTAGACTGGAAGAATGACTCGCTTACCTGCCTTCATCACGGTTTTAGTCCTTCATGGTAATATCAGTTTTGATGTATAAGGTGACACTGCATTCTCTTTGCTGCCCACCCAATAATATCAAAATATGTTTGAAAAACATTCAAAGAACATTTGCGATGGTGCTTCATGCAGAGTAGTCAGTAAGGTGATTTTTAAAAACTAGAGTCAATTTTGGTGGCTTAGTTAATGTTTTCAACTCAGCCTTCATTTGCAATTCCTTTTTTGAACTTCGTGCATCGTTTTTCTCCGAAACAAAGACAACGTGCGAAAAACTTCAGAGGGAAGTTTCAAGCTTACGGTCATCCCCAAAACATTTTGTCAAAGATACTATATTCATTCCAAGAAAAGTGTCGAGCTTTCACCCTCATTTAAATCTTATTACGCAGCCTTAAAAATAAATCAGCTTAGCCTCAAGAGGTAATCTGTCTCCGCGAAATTCAATAAGCTGACGTCTACGATGGGAGTATTGTCAATAAACATGCAGAAGGTTTTCTTCCTCCATCTGATTATTCATTTTCCTTTCACTTCTATTTCATACTCACCCCTGCACTAAAAAGAACATTCGGTCAAAGACCTCCTCTTAAGAAATTTAATCTGTATTGTCTGACAACTGTGTAAGTGATATTTTAAGCTATAGGGTATACACTTAAACGGCTCAGCGCTGAGAGGGTAGTTTCATCTTCACTTGCGTTTTTGAGCTACATCAGTCCCCACCAACGAACTATATTCTTCCTCGGCTGTTTTAAAGATCGCCAATACAGAAATGGATGCAAGGAGGAACGTCCGCACGAAATCTACTGAAAAGATCAGCAGAATTTCTGTGGCTATCTCACTAACTTCTTTGACTCTTGTGACATTTTTGTTTATGAGGATCGAGTTTGTGTACAACAATTCGAAAGCGCAGGAAGCAAGGCTTGAAAACCGAATTCAGCGGATTGACGATGACCTGAAAATAAACATAGAGAGAATAGTGAAGAAGAGGTTACAAATTTTTGAAACTGCATCCACAGCAAGGAGAAAAGGAAGGCCTGATGTTATCTTAGGTGAGTCATTGGTTACATATACTTCGGTTATGTTAGCTTTTTTTAAATAACCAACATTATACTGCATCACAGCCTAAAATGATATTTTCGTAGGCTTGCCTCTTAATTCTAGAAACAGAATACTCGCTATAATTCTACTGCCGTTGATTGTGAAATAAGGCAGAGCGAAAATATATCTTAAGTTGTATTTTATTTGTATGTTATCCTTCTGCCAAGGGTATTTTTTGAAAAGGTCAAACTCAGTTGACGCTTAGAATCTTAATTATTTTCTTTCTTCACAAGCTTTTTGCGAAAGAACATGCGTAAGGTAACCAACAAGTGAACGTTTTTGGTATTGTTTCGCTATCTTTAAGAAACTGTATGGTTATCGAAAACATCTGCATTCACATTACGGTAATATAGGGTGACATGCATTCGTGCGTCAGGCCACCAAAGAATGCAGATTGGATCAGGTAACATTTTGTTGAACCAAATCGAAATTATGACTCCTACTGTTTTAACATTCTGAAACACAGCTGTATACATTCTCATTCTCCTTCATATTTTCTCATTTCTTTCTCTTCACCCTAAACATCAATTGATAAACGACGACATCAATTCAGCTGAAATTTTCTTTCGCATTTCAAAATGCATTACTTCATCGATCCTATAAGAAACATTTGTTATCGTAACTTCTACAGGTTTTGATAGCAAAGTAGGAAGCGTGTCATCAGTTATCCGTGATCATAAAAGAGAGAGAAGAAATGTTCCCGCAGGAACAATAACTCTGCGGCAAGTCCGCCAGGAAATCAACAACAAGTTCAATCAGTCCTGCAATGTAAACAACAAGATTTGTCAGACAGGACCTCCAGGTCCTCCAGGTGCCCACGGGTATCCAGGATACAAAGGAGAAAAAGGAGCCACAGGGAAAACCGGCTCAAGAGGCCGTCCGGGACCAATCGGGGCCCCAGGCGCGAGTGGCAAAAGAGGACCTTTGGGACCTCAGGGAGTAAAGGGTGACAAGGGCGACAAAGGGTCCGTTGGGGCACCCGGGATAAGAGGAGAGACTGGAACAAAGGGTCGTCAAGGACAACAAGGATCTATTGGCTTTAAAGGAAGCAAAGGCAGCAGAGGATTGGTTGGTATTCAGGGACCAAAGGGAGAATGTGTTGTTCCACTGAAGATCAGAGTATATCCAGTATCTCAGGAAGTCTTTGTGCACGAGCCTGTAATATTTTACTGTTGGGTTCAAGGCCATCTTTCGTCCAAGATAACGTGGCGTAAACTTGGAGGTACTCTATCTGATGCTACTGTGGAAGATGGTGCGCTTCGAATAAGTAGCGTACAAAGGTCACATGCTGGGTCATACATGTGTACAGGTCATACTGGTTTGGGAATGTTCCGAATAATAAGCAGATTGCACGTAAAAGGTAGGGTCTTTTACTTTTGAGCGACTTTCTGCTTAGCTTTCAGTTGTTCGAAATGTTAGGAGACGAACGTCGTTTGTTTTCAAAATAAGTAATGCCAATAATCTAATCATCATGGTTATCAGCTCTGTGGATCAAGACTTTTCTAATACCAAGAAAATATAACCTGAATTATTCTGATGTGCCTCGTTTTCGGTAAAGCTGCTTGTCCACGAGCTCAAAAAATATGATAGGCTTTGTCACGCCATCTTTAGCTCAGACTTACGATCTTCTCCAAGTTTTTTTTGTGTCTGTTAATTATTTTTTCTTTCTTCAGGACCGCCTAAATTTACCAACAGGCCCCCTACAGTGGTCCACACATTGCTAGGAACCAATGTAACCCTCTGCTGCGAGGCCTCAGGTTCTCCTCGTCCAAACGTTGAATGGTTCCAGACCCAAAAGTCTTCTGTCTCATTTCCTGTTTTCCAGGAAGATGGATGTCTTCTATTTAAAATGGTGAAAGAAAACATAAAAGTAGATTTCATCTGCCGGGCGAAAAACAGCTTCGGATTGGCAGAGACAACAACCACGATGATTGCAGCATTATTGGCAGGTATTATTTACCAGTTAATTTTGCTGCAGAGCTTTAAAAATATGTAAATGGAAGGTAGTATCACTTGTCTTAATAGCACGGCATGTTTGTTAAATGGATCCAGCAGTTAAAAAATATCCCAAAACTGCCCTTGGTTAGCTCATGGTGTAGAGCGTCGGACTGATTGCAGTAAGTAGAGGGTCCCACACTCAGAGTCTTAAAATAGCTTAGGAGAGTTGCCACTACCATGACATCTTCAAGTAGTGAAACATTTTAGTCTTCTCGGATAAAGACGATATACTTCTACGTCTCTCTGTACTGGTTAGCAGGGGACGTCAAAGAACTCACACACTTCTCGCAAAGAGTAGCGAACATAGCCTCTGGTGTTGTGTTCTGGCCTTGCTATTATTTATACAGGCCCTATTTAACAAGTTTTAAAGCTGAACTGGGCCAACAAGTCTGACTATAACAAATAAATAAATGAATACAGTAAATACATTTATAAAGTTTGCTGCTATTTGTGCTAATTCACTCTTATTTGGGATCAAATTGTGTTCCGGGACCAACACCAAAATTGGTCCCTTCTAGATTAAGCAGTTAAAACAGGCTGCAAAATCTTTCATTTTCAGGTCTGGAGCAATCAGAAATACTGGCAAACAATGATCATCACTTGCGCACTTTGAGTTTTTGGTTAGGATCTGTTGTGCAGAGCCAGTCCTCTTACTGGAAGCGCTGCTGGCGAGCATCAGTGGATGGTTGGGCCGGCACTACCTTCCATTCAAAGTGTAACAACAAAGGGCCCACAGTGACCATTATCCGTGTGGGAAAATACATCTTTGGTGGATACACCAGCACATCATGGAGTAAGTGAATGATTGAATGCTTTCACTTCATTTTTTTTATTTCATTGAAACGTGCCTCCACTTTTTATCATTTGAAACTACATGCGGTAACTTATTTTCCAGAACTCGTGTAAGTGACATAAAGTCTCTCCTCTAAAATAACTTCAACCTGAAAATAAACTCTGACATAAAGTTTCTGTTGTCTGATTATCTGATTGGAATTAAATTTTGACACAAGATCATGCTCGATTAGCAAAAGCTGTTCTCTGTATTTACGCTATAACTTCTTCTACCATAGAGAAAGGTTGAAGTCAAAAGGGAGAGGAAAGTTTATTCAATACCTTTTCGTTTCATTGTTGTTGTTAACTAAAATACGCTCGTAAACGCCATTTCTCTATCGTTTTAAATGTTCTTCTGGCCAAGTGTTACAAATATTCACCTTCATCTCAGTTTACTGAAATAGTTTGTGACTCTTTTTTACCATTTTGCTTATTAGATTCCAATTGTGGGTATCTGTACAGCTCAAAGGCCTTTTTGTTTTCATTGGTTAACAAGCCAGCCTGGGCACCAGTGAAACTGTCTCAAACAGGAAAGTATAGTTCTTATCGTCACTCCATATACAGTTGTTCAAGATATGGACCCAACTTTGGTGGAGGAAGGGATATTAAGATTACCAACTACGCATCATCCTACATAAATTCCTACACAAACCCTGGACACACCTATAGTCCACCATCTGGCCACAGTTATGGCAGCTCCTTCACCCGATCATTCCTGGCAGGAAGTTACTTTTTTCAACCTGATGAAGTTGAAGTGTTTTATGAAAGTACGAAGTGAAGTAATTAAATGCAGTTAGAGTTGGTAATATATACGGTAAATAGTCCTTGATCACAAACACTGGAATTCTGTCATAGCCTGGAGCTTTATTAGAAGGCATAGCCATAATCACTTTTCGCACATCTTCACTGGTTATTGCTTTGAAGTCAAACAGTTCATCACAATGAGTTGAACCGAGATAAACAGGAGTAGTTGGTAGGCCGTGAAAGCGAGCGAGCTCCGCAGAGTCATCGGCGGCCTTCTGTCCCACAGATATAAAGAAGCGATTGAATTCATTAGCGAGTGCATCTGTGTCCTTGGTAAAGCTTGGGCGGCCTGATTTATTTGGGAGGGCACTGCGAATAGTTTTCCACATTGCTCCACTGTTGTTCTTATTTTCACAGATTTGATGAGAACACTACAATCATCAAATCTGTACGAATAAGTTGCTTATTAATCCAGACAAAACTAAACTTATTCTTTTTGGAACGAAACAGCTTTTAAGTAGGGTTCCTGATATCAGAGTCCCCTTTCTTGGGCAACACTTAATTCCTGTGTCCTCAGTCAAAGACCTGGGTATAATATTGGACTCGAACCTTACTTTTAATGAACACGTTAACACCCTGACCTCGTCTCTTCTTTCTACCCTATGCCAGATAAGCAGAGCTAGGCACTTGTTTTCCAAATCAGTACTTACCACCATTCTGAATTGTCTAGTTTTTTGTAAACTCCCTTTATTGCTCGACAGTTTGGTCTGGAACGTTTGCGCACAACATAAACAAATTGCAACTTGTACAAAACTTTGCTGCCCGTGTGTTGAAAAACAGTAAGAAGTTTGATCACATCTCACCAGTGCTGCGGGCACTGTGTTGGCCTTCTATTAAGAACCAGTTATAAGTGCGTGATATTACGATGCTATACAAAATAGTCAATGGCCTTGCACCACCATAGTTAGAGTGTTACGTCAACAAAAGATCAGCTATCCACAGCTACAATACTAGATCTAAAGACAACTTAGTTATACCGTTTTGTAGGACAGCCACAGCACAGAGGTCTTTTAGTTATAGAGCAATTACTGCCTGGAATTCTCTTATAAGTGAAGAAACGAAAAATAGCGCAACACTCTCAGTTTTCAAGCGTGCAGTAAAGCGCGAAATATATGACAGTCCATAGGAATCTTTTTTAGGTATAGAATTTTAAGAATATGTTAGTTATTTATTTGTATTTGTTTCTTTATCATGATATTATTGTAACTTTTATAGGTAGTTTTATTCTATTTCCAATTATTGTAAATTAAATCGGAAGAGCCACTGGGTGGAGATTTAATAAACTTACTTACTTACTTACTTACTAAATCCAGCATTTGAAAAATATCCCAAAACCGCACTTGGCCGGCTCATGGTGTAGAGCGCCGGACTGCCGTGCGAAAGGTCGAGGGTTTCACACTCAGGGTCTTAAAATAACTGAGGAGAATGTGCAGCCGCTATCATGACATCTGCAAGTAGTTAGATATTTTAGTCTTCTCGGATAAAGACGATAAACTCCGACGTCTCTCTGTACTGGTTGGCAGGGGACGTTAATGAACCCACGCACTTCTCGCAGAGTAGCGAACATGTCTCCCAGTGTTGTGCTCTGGCCTGGTTATTATTTATACCAGCCCTATTTAACAAGCCTGAAACTGAAATGGGCCAACAAGTCTAACTATTGCTAATAAATGAATTAAATTTTACAGTAAAAAGATGAAAAAACATTTTTTGCTGTTTGTACTAGTTCATTCTAATTTGGGATTAAATTGTGTTCCGGGACCAAAACCAAAATTGATCCCTTTGAAATTGAGCAGTTAAAACAGGCTGAGATATCTTTCTTTTTCAGGTTTGGAGCAATCAGTAATACTGAAACATAATGTTTATTACCTACACAATTTGAAAATTTGGTTAAACCCTGTTGTACAGAGCCAGTCTTCACACTGGACGCGCTGCTGGCGAGCATCCATGGATGGTTGGGCCAGCACTACCTTCCACTCAAAGTGTGACCACAAAGGGCCCACAGTGACCATTATCCGTGTGGGAAAATACATCTTTGGTGGATACACCAGCACATCATGGGGTAAATGAATCATTGAATGCTTTCGCTATATTTTTTCACTTCATTGAAACATACATCCACCTTCTACATTTGAACTACACGCAGTAACTTGTTTTCCAGAACCCATGTAAGCGACATAAAATCTCTCCTCTAAAATAACTTGAACCTGAAAAGAAATTCTAGCATAAAGTTTCTGTTGTCTGATTATCTGATTGGAATTAAATTTTGACACAAGATCATGCTCGATTAGGAAACGCTGTTCCCTGTATTTACGCAATAATTTCTTTTACCATAGAAAAAGGTTGAAGTCAAACGAGTGGTGGATAATTCATTCAATAACTTTTCCTATCATTGTTGTTATTAACTGGTGAACGCAATTTCTCGACCGTTTTAAATTTTGCTGTGGTCAAGTGTTACAAATATTCACCTTCTTCTCAGTTTACTGAAATAGTTTGTGACACTTTTTTACCATTTTGTTTATTAGTTTTCAATTGTGGATACCAGCACAGCTCAAAGGCCTTTTTGTTCTCATTGGTTAACCAGCCAGGCTGGGCACCATTGAAACTTTTTAAAACAGGGCAGCATAGTTCAGGTCGCCATTCCATATACAGTTGTTCAAAGAATGGACCCACATTTGGTGGAGGAAACCATATTTCCATTGCCAGTTACGCCTCATTCAACTCAAATTCTTACTCAAACCTTGGATACACCTACAGGCCACCATCTGGCCACAGTTATGGCAGCTCCTTTACCCAATCATTCCTCGCAGGAAGTCGAAATTTTAAACCCGATGAAGTTGAAGTGTTTTATGAAAGTACTTGAAATAAACGAACTGAAGTAACGATGATATTCAAAACTACTATTTAGGCCTATTTACTAACAATCGAGACAGACGTTTCTGTCTGGGTTGTCTCTGGGTTAAGGCCACAAACTAAGATAAAGTTTGAACAGACCAGTTGAGGTAGTAGCGCTGAACTGTCCTATTATGTTAACATGTATCATCATATCTAGTCGTTGGAGAGAGTTCGCAAATTGATCAAAGTAACGCTATGATGAACTCGTGCATAAACTGTGCAGAATATTGTAGGAGTATGCATTGATTGTTCCAAACTGTCAATTATTCCGTGATTCTAAGACACAGAATCAAGCCATCATCTCCAAATTGATCTGCTTTATATAACAATCGGTCCGCCATCTGTAAGAAGATATATGCAACGTATTTCGACCTGATGAAATTAAAGTGTTTTATTAAACTATTTGAGGCAATTGAATTCCTATTTACTGACAACGGACACAGGGTTGCCTGTAGGTTATGGCCACAAAGATAGAGCTTGAACAGATTAGGTTAGGTAACAGCACTAAATCGTTCAATTATGTATACGGATATTAGCATTTTTAGGTAAGGGTACAAAAATAAGATGTATGCTCTCCCCAGACTCCTTTGACCGTGCCAACGCCGCGAAATTTGCATATCGAATCTCCTGAGATTCTCATATCCACAATTAAAAAAGGGCCAGGTTTGTGTGAACTTTGTTATTAGGGGTACTATAAAATCGCTCGAGTAGCCAATTGAATTTTTCTTGCACGATAAGTTGCAGTTGAGTAGTATTTTTCCGAGCTCCGTAGGCGAGAGGGAAAATATGAGCAATGGGCGAAATGTCAGTTCGTTGTCTGAGTTTAGGTTTACCACTACACTTCTAGTTATTCCGATGGACATGGATGGACTCCATTGGATTCCATCCGACGAATGGATATCGATGGAGTCCATCGGACAACATTTCTGCCCTCCCCAATATTTATCTGACTTCCGGTACTCTTTCCCGTCGTGACTTCCGGTTATCTTACTTCCGTAGGAAGGTGTCACCAATAGAATTTTGCCTATTCCATCGGATAACCACGTTTTCCATCGGAATCCATTGGTGTGTATTGGACATGCATGGAGGGAGGAATAAAGGAAAATTTGACAATCATTTGATTTGCTTCAATTTGTATTTTGAAGATTCATACACGAAGCTACCAAATCTAAAGATTTCCCGACGCGGCTTAGATTTCGGGCCTTAATACATATTGTTCAAAGGTTTCCTCTGTCAGAGATACACACTCGGTACTATCACATATCAGTCATTAAAAAAAGACCTGGATATTTAAATCAAATAACTGAAATACTCAACCACATCAACAGACTTCTTTAACAATAAAAAAAAAAAAAAACAAAAATTGGGTATAGATAATTTCGTCGAGCAAGTTCTAACGGACTCATTGAATGAAAAGTTTTGTTTGAAATAGTGATAATTTTTTATTGATTATTAAACATCCCTTTATTTCTTTTTCTCCGGGGGTTGCACAGTAAGTTGTTTGACTCAGTAGTTGACAAAGAGATTTGGCCAATTGTGAAAATACTGTCAAGAGGTCGGAATAACTGTTTGGGCCGCATTGTATATACCGTTTACGGCGTGCACACGTACAGAATGTTATAACAGAAAGCTGAAGAAACAGAAAACTACGAAGAGAAACCCGGTTACGGAATGTTACGGACTTGAGTCAGGAAACTAAGTCGAGTGCATCAAGTCGATGCTGGTTGATAGGCTTTACGCATCGATTAGTTCCTTGATCAAAGTCCTGAGTGCAAGTGCTACAACCATGACATTATAAACTGCTGCAACCCAATAGTGCTGAAATATCACCAGCCAATATAAAAGTTGACAACAACGACAACAACAACAAAACCATTTTTATTGTACTCTTTATCAAGTATTAGCAATGTATTGCATAGAAAATGACTAATTACAGGAGCCATTTTTCTGCTGATCAGTATTATAATAATTAGAGGGTACCAGCACCTGGAATAACTACGCAGCTAAATATGAGAAGGAACTGGATTAAGGTAGACTGCATATTTATAGCGGAGGAAGAGTATGGCCAACACATACAAAAACTTTGTGAAAAACTACATTACACACGTAACAACAAAAAATTGTGGTACAATTTAACAATCTTTGAAGATCAAACCCTTGCTGCAGTCTGAACACTTCTCTCAGAGATCAAAACTTACTTTATTTTCTCTTTAAATCAAATATCTGTAGGATTTATTTCAAGAGTCTTTAAAGTTTAGCACGCCTTGCTGTAAGCGGCTAAAGGTGAATTCCAGAAAAAGTGAGAAATTTGAACAAGGTACAACACTTTCGTAGCAACTTCCATAGGAAAATGTCCATCTCTGACATTAAAATTTTGTAATAAACATTTAAAAGGAAAAGAGTGGAGCTTTTGGGTTCTTTAAATCCAGTAACAGCATTTTACCCGAGCAAGTGAACGTGCCTGCTTCATTTTTCGCCAGAGACAGGTTTGCACCTGTACCCCTCCAAAATATCATGTTGCTAAGTATATCCATTGAAAAGCTCTTTTCGGTGAAATACATCTTTTTTTTTTCCTATTCTACCCTTCTTCCTGTACTCCTTTGGTAAACCTGATACTTCTGCGCAAGCTGGGGCAAAGCTATACTGATAAAAAACACCTGCATGATCTTACTGGCCAAAGCCATTCCGTGAAACAGACTGGAAGAATGATTCATTTACCTGCCTTCATCATAGTCTTGTTCTTCCATGGACATATCTGTTTTGCTGTGTAAGGTAATACTATATTTGCTTTGCTGCCTACCCAAGAATATTAAAATACATTTGAAAAACATTCAAAGAACATTTGCTGTAGCTCTTCGTGTAGAGTAGTTTGAAAGGTGATTTCTAAAACCTTCAGTCAAATTTGATAGCTTAGTCAATGTTTTCAACTAAGCCTTCATTTGCGATTCCTTTTTTGAATTTCGTGCATCATTTTTTCTCCGGAACAAAGCAAACGTGAAAAAAAACTTCAGAGCGAAACTTCTAGCTTAAGGTCATCCCCAAAACATTTTGTTAAAGAAACTATATTCATTCCAAGACAAGTACTGAGCTTTTAACATCATTTAAGTCTTATTACGCACCCTTTACCTTTTAACTCCAAAGAGTGACCAAGACATAATTTCTCATTACAGTATCAACACAGAATCAAGCAGACAAGTGAGGAGAAAAAAGAAAAACTCAGTTAGGGGACTACAAGTTGAACCCCAATACCAAATTCTCCAAATTGAAATCATAAGTATTTTATGGCAGACAGTGGGGAGAATTACTAACGAGATGTTGGGAGTTAAAGGGTTAATGATAAATCATCGTCGCCTCAAGGGGTCATCTGTCTCAGAGAAATTTGAAAAACTGACATCTACGATGGGAGTATTGTCAATGAGTATGCAGACGTTTTTCTTCCTCCATCTGATTATTCATTTTCCTTTCATTTCTATTTCAGACTCATCACTGCACCTGAAAAAATTCGGTCAAAGACCTCCTCTTGAGAAATTTAATCTATTTTGTCTGACAACTGTATAAGTGATATTTTAAGATGTCACGGGGTACACTGAAACAGCTTACCGCTGAAAGGGTAGTTTCATCTTAACTTGCGTTTTTGAGCTACATCAGTCCCAGCTAACGAACTATATTCCTCCTGTTTTAAAGATCGCCAATACAGAAATGGATGCAAAGAGGAACGTCTGCTCGAAATCTAGTGAAAAGATCAGCAGAATTTCCGTGGCTATTTCAGTGACTTCTTTGACTCTTGTGACATTGTTGTTTATGAGGATCGAGTTTGTGTACAACAATTCGAAAGCGCTGGAAGCAAGGCTTGAAAACCGAATTCAGCGGATTGACGATGACCTGAAAACAAACATAGAGAGGACAGTGAAGAAGAGGTTACAAATTTATGAAACTGCATCCACAACAAGGAGAAAGGAAAGGCCTGATGTTATATTTGGTGAGTCATTGGGCTACACGTACATCAGTTCTGTTAGCTTTTAATAATCAACACTATAATATACAGCATCACAGCACAAAATGATTTTATCGTTAGTTTGCCTCTCAATTTTATAAACAGAATACTCGCTATACGAGTATACAGAACGAAAATCTGTCTTAAGTTGTATTTTATTTGTTATCCTTCTGCCAAGGGTATTTTTGGAAAAGGTCAAACTCAACTGACGCTTAAAATCTGAATTATTTTCTCTTTTCACAAGCTTTATGCGAAAGAACACGCGGAAGGTAATCAGCAAGTGAACATTTTATTGTTTTGCTTCACTCAAGAAACTGTATGGTTATCGAAAACATCTGCTTTCACATTACGGTAGTGTAGCGTGACATACATTCGTGTATCAGACCACTGAAGAATGCAGATTGGATCACGTAACATTTTGTTGAACCAAACCGAAGTTATAACTCCTATTGTTTTAACTTCCTGAAACACAACAGTATACATTCTCATTCTCTTGGACTAACGTATTTGATCACCACCATTTTATGGCACCGAAATTTTGACAACAGTAGTGCTGTTGACTATATTTGGCGAACAGGACTTTTTGGCGAATACTCCGATGGTCAATGAACTTACCTGAAACTCTCAGCTAAAAAGTCTCGTGACTAAAGGCAGCTTCAGACAGCCCTCGGGCTATTTTTGAACAAAATTTATAGAAGTAAAAGGTTCCTTCTTTTTTTTTTTGTTATTTATTTTTGCGCCAGTTTTAGGAGCATATGAAGGTTTTAACATTTGCGTATTTCTCTTTTGTCTCCATTTTCTCATTTTTTCTCATCACCGCAAACATGGATTGATAAACGACTACATCAATTCTTCTTATTCTTTCGCACTTGAAAATGCATTTCATTGATCCCATAATGAATATTTGTTATCGTAACTTCTGCAGGTTTTGAAAGCAAAGTAAGAAGTGTGTCATCAGTTATCCGTGATTATCAAAGAGAGAGAAGAAATGTTGCTGCAGGAACAATAACTCTGCAGCAAGTCCGCCGGGAAATTAACAACAAACTCAATCAATCCTGCAGTGTTAACAACAAGATTTGTCAGACAGGACCTCCAGGTCCTCCAGGTGCCCTCGGTTATCCAGGGTACAAGGGAGAAAAAGGAGCCACAGGGAAAACCGGCTCACGAGGCCCTTCGGGTGCTATCGGGGCTCCAGGCGCGAGTGGCAAAAGAGGACCTGTGGGACCTCAAGGAGTAAAAGGCGACAAGGGCGACAAAGGGTCCGTTGGAGCGCGCGGGATTAGAGGAGAGACTGGAACGAAGGGTCGTCAAGGACAACAAGGATCTATTGGCTTAAAAGGAAGCAAAGGCAACAGAGGATTGGTTGGTATTCAGGGATCAAAGGGAGAATGTGTTGTTCCACTGAAGATCAGTGTGTATCCAGTATCTCAGGAAGTCTTTGCGGACGAGCCTGTAATATTTTACTGTTGGGTTCAAGGCCATCTGTCGTCCAAAATAACGTGGCGTAAACTTGGAGGTACTCTATCTAATGCTACTGCGGAAGATGGTGCGCTTCGAATAAGCAGCGTACAAAGGTCACATGCTGGGTTGTACACATGTACAGCTCACACTGGTTTGGGAATGTTCCAAATATTAAGCAGATTGCATGTAAAAGGTAGGGTCTTTCACTTTTGAGCGATTTTCAGCTTTTGCATTCAGTTACAGAATAGGTAATGCCCCCAACATAATCATCATGGTTATTCAGGTCTATGAATCAAGACTTTTCTACAACCAAGAAAATATAAACTGAATATAACTTTTTAAGATCTTCACCAAGCTTGCTTTGTGCCTGTTAAATTGGTTTTTTTCTTTCTTTAGAGCCACCTAAATTTACCAACAGGCCCCCTACAGTGGTTGGTGCAATTCCAGGAACTAATGTGACCCTCTGCTGCGAGGCCTCAGGTTCTCCTCGTCCAAACGTGGAATGGTTCCAGGCACAAAAGGCTTCTGTCTCATTTCCTGTTTTTCAGGAAGATGGATGTCTTCTGATTAAGATGGTTAAAGAAGACGTAGATTTCATCTGCCGGGCTAAAAACAGCTTCGGAATGGCAGAGACAACAACGACGGTGATTGCAGAGATATTTGGAGGTATTATTTATTACTTTTGCTGCAAGGCTTTGAAAATATGTAATTGGAAGGTATTATCACTTGTCTTAATAGCGCGATATGTTTGTTGAATGGATCCAGCTTTTAAAAAAAATATCCCAAAACCGCACTTGGTCAGCTCATGGTATAGAGCGTCGAACTGCCGTGTGGAGGATCGAGGGTTCCACACTCAGGATCTTAAAATAACTGAGGCGAATGTGCAGCCGCTATCATGACATCTGCAAGTAGTTAAACATTTTAGTCCTCTCGGATAAAGACGATAAACTCCTACGTCTCTCTGTACTGGTTAGCAGGGGACGTTAAAGAACTCACGCACTTCTCGCAAAGAGTAGCGAACATATCTCCCGGTGTTTTGCTCTGGCCTTGTTATTGTTTATACAGGCCCTATTTAACAAGCTTTAAAGCTGAACTGGGCCAACAAGTCTAAGTATCGCAAATAAATAAATGAATATAGTAAATAAATAGATAAAATTTGCTGCTATTTGTGCTAATTCACTCCCTTCCAAATTGAGCGATTAAAACAGGCTGTCATATCTTTCTTTTTCAGGTTTGGAGCAATCAGTAATACTTACAAACAATATTCATTACCTGCGCACTTTACGTTTTTGGTTAGGATCTGTTGTGCAGAGCCAGTCCTCTTACTGGAAGCGCTGCTGGCGAGCATCAGAGGATGGTTGGGCCAGCACTACCTTCCACTCAAAGTGTGACAACAAAGGGCCCACACTGACCATTATCCGTGTGGGAAAATACATCTTTGGTGGATACACCAGCACATCATGGGGTAAGTAAATCATTGAATGCTTTCACTTTATTTTTTCATTTCATCGAAACATGCGTCCATTTTTTATCATTTGAAACTACATGCGGTTACTAGTTTTCCAGAACTCATGTAAGCGACCTAAAGTCTGTCATTTAAAATAACTTGAACCTGAAAAGAAACTCTGACATAAAGTTTCTGTTGTCTGACTATCTGATTGGAATTAAATTTTGACATAAAATCATGCTCGATTAGGAAAAGCTGTTCTCTGTATTTACGCAATAACTTCTTCTACCATAGAGAAAGGTTGAAGTCAAAAGGGAGAGGAAAGTTTATTCAATAGCTTTTCGTTTCATTGTTGTTGTTAACTAAAAAACGCTCTTAAACGCCATTTCTCTATCGTTTCAAATGTTCTTCTGGCCAAGTGTTACAAATATTCACCTTCATCTCAGTTTACTGAAATAGTTTGTGACTCTTTCTTACCATTTTGCTGATTAGATTCCAATTGTAGGTATCTGTACAGTTCAAAGGCCTTTTTGTTTTCATTGGTTAACAAGCCAGCCTGGGCACCAGTGAAACTGTCTCAAACAGGAAAGTATAGTTCTAGTCGCAATTCCATACTCAGTTGTCCATCATATGGACCCATCTTTGGTGGAGGACACGATATTTGGATTACCAACTACGCCTCATCCAACACAAATTCCTTAACAAACCTTGGAAACACCTACAGTGCACCATCTGGCCACAGTTATCTCAGCTCCTTCACCAAAACATTCCTGGCAGGAAGTTACAAATTTCAACCTGATGAAGTTGAAGTGTTTTATGAAAGTACGAAGTGAAGTAGCGATGACATTCAAAACTCCTGTTTACACCTATTTACCAACAATCGAAGCAGACTTTTCTGCCTGGGTTGCCTGTGGGCTAAGGCCACAAACTGAGATAAAGCTTGGACAGATCAGTTTAGGTAGTAGCACTAAACTGTGCTATTATATATACAGGTATCATCATTTTTAGTCTTTGAAGAGAGTTCGCAAATTGATCAAAGTAAACTCGTGATCAAAGTGAACTCGTGGATAAACTGTGAAGAATATTATAAGAATAGGCAGTGATTGTACTAAGCTGTCAATTATTCTGTGATTCCAAGATACAGAATCAAGCCATTATCTCCAAATTGATCCGCTTTATTTAACATTTATTTCGACCTGATGAAGTTGACGTGTTTTATGAAGCTACTTGAAGCAAACAAATTCCTATTTACTGACGATGGAGACAGCGTTTCCAGTGGCTTGTGGCCACAAAGATCAGACTTGAACAGATCAGGCTTGGTAATAACACAAAACTTATCAATTATGTATACGGATACCATCATTTTTACTCGTAGGGGAGAGTACGAAAATAATATGTAAGCTCTCCTCAGTCTCATTTGACCCTGCTAACGCTAAGAAATTTGCTCATCGAATTCTCATATCCACTATTAAAAAGGGCGATATTTGCGTCATCTTGCACGATGATATTACCGTGTTGCGCAGTATTTTTCGAGCCTTGTAGGGCGAAGGAAAATATGAGCAATGGGCAAAATGTCAGATCGTATTATTTGTCAAATCATCGATGGAGATATTTACTATTGCACGATTATTCCATTTTCTATTATTTCGGTGTGACCTTTGTGTTTCTCAGCTTTCAGTCCGTGCTTTTGCCTTGTTCTACAATGTAATGTCGGGGCATATTTTGTATGTTCCGTTGCCCTTATATGGTAAATGACGTCATAGTGAATAAGATGCTGAGATCCATTATACATTATACGTTAAATGGCAAAGGCGTCAATTTGAGTTTTTGTCTATAACAGGTCTGCGCAAGTACTACTTTAACATATCACATTGCAAACTACGTTCACGTTAAGGTTTTTATTTGTGAAATTCTTTGCTTGAGCTGGATGTCGAATTTGAACTAATCCAAACACTGTTCTAAGTTCTAATTTAGGGACCTGATCTTACTGACCAAAGCCATTCTGTGAAACATAGACTGGAAGAATGACTCACTCACTTGCCTTCATCATAGTTTTAGTCCTAACACTGTATTCCCCGTGCTGCCCACCAGAAATATCAAAATATGTTTGAAAAACATTCAAAGAACATTTGCGATAGTGCTTCGTGTAGAGTAGTCTGTAAGGTGATTTCAAAAACAAAACATTTTGTCGAAGATATTATATTCATTCCAAGACAAGTGTTGAGCTCTCAGCCTCAGTTAACTCTTATTACGCAGCTTTAATGATACATCAGCTTAGCTTCAAGAGGTAATCTGTCTCAGCGAAATTTAATAAGCTGACGTCTACGATGGGAGTATTGTCAATGAGTATGCAGACGTTTTTCTTCCTCCATCTGATTATTCATTTTCCTTTCACTTCTATTTCATACTCACCCCTGCACTAAAGAGAACATTCGGTCAAAGACCTCCTCTTAAGAAATTTAATCTGTATTGTCTGACAACTGTGTAAGTGATATTTTAAGCTATAGGGAGTACACTTAAACAGCTCAGCGCTGAGAGGGTAGTTTCATCTTCACTTGCGTTTTTGAGCTACATCAGTCCCCGCCAACGAACTATATTCTTCCTCGGCTGTTTTAAAGATTGCCAATACAGAAATGGATGCAAAGAGGAACGTCCGCACGAAATCTACTGAAAAGATCAGCAGAATTCCCTTAGCAATTTCAGTGACTTCTTTGACTCTTGTGACATTGTTGTTTATGAGGATCGAGTTTGTGTACAAGAATTCGAAAGCGCTGGAAATAAGGCTTGAAAACCGAATTCAGCGGATTGACGATGACCTGAAAACAAACATAGAGAGAATAGTGAAGAAGAGGTTACAAATTTATGAAACTGCATCCACAACAAGGAGAAAGGAAAGGCCTGATGTTATCTTTAGTAAGTCATTGCCTCAGATCTGTTAGCTTTTAATAAGCAACGTTACACTGCATCACAACACAAAATGATTTATCGTTCATTTGCCTCTCAATTCAATAAACAGAATAATCGCTATAATTCTATTGCCGTTGATTGTCAAAGAAGACAGAGCGAAAATATATCTTAAGTTGTACTTTATTTGTATGTTATCCTTCTGCCAAGGCTATTTTTGGAAAAGGTCAAACTCAACTGACTTTTAAAATCTCAATCATTTTCTTTTTTCACAAGCTTTATGCGAAAGCACACGCTTAAGGTAATCAACAAGTTTTTGTTATTGTTTTTCTTTACTCAAGAAACTGTATGATTATCGAAAACATCTGCTTTCATATATTACGGTAATGTAGGGTGACATGCATTCGTGCGTCAGGCCACCGAAGAATGCAAAGTTATGACTCCCACTGTTTTGACTTCCTGAAACACAGCAGTATACATTCTTATTATCTTACACTAATGTGTTTGATCAGAGTAGAATTTTTAATTATATCTTACGAACAGAACTCTGAGCACGATGCTTAATGAGCTTACTTGAAATCTCGCACCTGAAAAGTCTCAAGACTAAAAGCAGCTCCAGACAGTCCTCGGGCTAATTTCCAAAAAAATGAATAGACGTCCAAGGTTCCTTTAATGAAATTTTTTTTGTTCTTTAATTCTTACTTGATTTAATGCTGAGTTATTCATTTTTGCACCCACTTTGTGACCATATGAATGTTTTAACATTTGTGTATTTCTCTTTTGTCATTATTTTCTCCTTTCTTTCTCTTCACCGTAAACATCGATTGATAAACGACGACATTGAGAATTTGGTTAAACGCTGTTGTGCAGAGCCAGTCCTCCTACTGGGAGCGTTGCTGGCTAGCATAAGTGGATGGTTGGGCCAGCACTACCTTCCACTCAAAGTGTGACAACAAAGGGCCGACAGTGACTATTATTCGTGTGGGAAAATACATCTTTGGTGGATACAAGTAAATCATTGAATGCTTTCACTCTATTTTTTCATTTCATTGAAACATGCCTCCACTTTTTAACATTTGAAACTGCATGCGGTTACTTATTTTCCAAAACTCGTGTAAGCGACTGAAAGTCCCTCCTCTAAAATAACTTGAACCTGAAAAGAAATTCTGGCATAAAGTTTCTGTTGTCTGATTCTCTGATTGGAATTGAATTTTGACACAAGATCGTGCTCGATTAGTAAAAGCTGTTCCTTGTATTTACGCAATCATTTCTTCTACCATAGAGGAAGGTCAAAATCAAACGGGTGGTAGAAAGTTCATTCAATAACTTTTCCTTTTATAGTTGTTATTAACTGGTAAACGCAATTTCACGGCCGTTTGAAATTTTCCTCGGGCCAAGTGTTACAAATATTCACCTTCATCTCATTTTACTGAATTATTTTGTGACTCGTTTTTACCATTTCGTTTATTAGTTTCCAATTGTGGATACCAGTACAGTTCAAAGGCCTTTTTGCTCTCATTGGTTAACATGCCAGGCTTGGCACCAGTGAAACTTTTTCAAAACGTACAGCATAGTTCAGGTCGCCATTCCATATACAGTTGTTCAAGCCATGGACCAACATTTGGTTACGGAAACGATATTTACGTTGCCAGCTATGCCTCATCCAACACAAAATCTTACTCGAACCTTGGATACACCTACCGTTCACCACCCGGCCACAGTTATGGCAGCCCCTTCCAATCATTCCTGGCAGGAAGTCGCAATTTTAAACCCGATGAAGTCGAAGTGTTTTATGAAACTACTTGAAACAAACGAACTGAAGTAACGATGATATTCAAAACTATTTAGACCTATTTACCAACAGTTGAAACCGACTTTTCTGTTTGGGTTTCCTGTGGGTTAAGGCCACAAACTGTGATAAAGCTTGGACAGATCAGTTTAGGTAGTAACACTAGACTGTCTAATTGCGTAAACAGGTATCATCATTTTTAGTCGTTGGAGAGAGTGCGCAAATTGATCAAAGTGACGCTATGGTGAACTCGTGGATAAACTGTGCAGAATATTATAAGAATATGCAGTGATTGTACTAAACTGTCAATTATTCTGTGATTCCAAGATACAGACTCAAGCCATTATCTCCAAATTGATCCGCTTTATATATCAATCGGTCCGCCATCTTTAAGAAGACATATGCAACGTATTTCGACCTGATGAAATTCTTAATCACACCCTGGATACACCTACAGTCCACCATCTGGCCACGGTTATCTCAGCTCCTTCGCCCGATCATTCTTGGCAGGAAGTCGCAATTTTAAACCCGATGAAGTTGAAGTGTTTTATGAAACAACTTGAGGCAAACGAATTCCTATTTACTGAAAATCGAGACAGGGTTGCCTGTGGCTCATAGTCACAAAGATAAAGCTTGAACAGATCAGGTTAGGTAACAGCACTAAACTGTTCAATTATGTATACGGATATTAGCATTTTTAGTCGTAGGTGAGGGTACAAAAATAAGATGTATGCTCTCCCCAGACTCCTTTGACCGTGCCAACGCCACGAAATTTGCATATCGAATCTCCTGAGATTCTCATATCCACAATTAAAAAAGGGCCAGGTTTGTGTGAACTTTGTTATTAGAGGTGCTATAAAATAGCTCGAAAAGGACATTTAAATTCCATTGAATTTTTCTTGCACGATAATATTTGCGAGTTGAGTAGTATTTTTCCGAGCTCCGCAGGGGAGAGAGAAAGCATGAGCAATGGGCAAAATGTCAGTTCGTTGTCTGAGTTTAGGTTTACCACTACACTTCTAGTTATTCCGATGGACATGGATGGACTCCATTGGATTCCATCCGACGAATGGATATCGATGGAGTCCATAGGACAACCTTTCTACCTTCTCCAATATTTATCTGACTTCCGGTACTCTTTCCCGTCGTGACTTCCGGTTATCTTACTTCCGTGGGAAGGTGTCACGAATAGAATTTTGCCTATTCCATCGGAAAACCAAGTTTCCATCGGAATCCATTGGTGTGTATTGGACATGCATGGGGGAGGAATAAAGGAAAATTTGACAATTATTTGATTTGCTTCAATTTGTATGGTGAAGATTCATACACGAAGCTACGAAATCTAAAGATTTCCCGACGCGGCTCAGATTTCGGGACTTAATACATATTGTTCAAAGGTTTCCTCCGTCAGAGATACACACTCGGCACTATCACATATCACGCATTAAAAAAGATCTGGATATTTAAATCAAATAATTGAAATCCTTAACCACATTAACAGACTTCTTTTACAATGGAACATAAACAAAAAGTTGGGCTGTTCTTTTAGCAAGATAATTTCGTCGGACAAGTTACAACGTACTCAAATGAAAAGTTCTGTTTGAAATAGTGATAATTTTTTATAGGTTATTAAACATCCATTTATTCCCTTTTCTCCGGGGGTTGTTTGACTCGGTAGATGACAAAGGGATTTGGTTAATTATGAAACTACTGTCAAGAGATCGGAACAACGGTTTGGGCCGCATTGATTACAGGAGCCATTTTTCTGCTAATTAGTATTATAATAATAAGAGGGTACCAGCTCCTGGAATAACTACGCAGCTAAATATGAGAGGGAACTGGATTAAGGTAAATTGCATATTTATAGCGGGGGAAGAGTATGGCCAACACATACAAAAACTATGTGAAAAACTACATTACACACGTAGAATTGTGGTACAATTTAACAATCTTTGAAGATCAAACCCTTGCTACAGTCTGAAAACTTCTCTCAGAGATCAAAAGTGTTTCGTTTTACGTTTGTTTATTTTTATGATGATAGCATATCTATTCTTGGCTTCTATATAAATAACTTCTATCACCTTTGATGGTCTCGGCCATCAGCCCCAAACTTCAAATGTCTACTATAATCTCCTCTGAACTTACTTTATTTTCTCTTTAAATCAAATATCTATAGGATTTATTATAAGAGTCTTGAAAGTTTAGCACGCCTTGCTGTGAGCGGCCAGAGGTGAATTCCAAAGAAAGTGAGAAAATTGAACCTGAGGTACAACACTTTCCGTAGCAACTTCCATAGGAAAATGTCCATCTCTGACATTAAAATTTTGTAATAAACATTGAAAAGGAAAAGAGTGGAGCTTTTGGGTTCTTTAAATCCAGTAACAGCATTTTACCCGAGCAAGTGAACGTGCCTGCTTAATTTTTCGCTAGAAACAGGTTTGCACCTGTACCCCACCAAAATATCATGTTGCTAAGTATACCTATTAAAAGTTATTTTCAGTGAAATAAATCTTTTTTTCCTATTCTACCCTTCTTCCTGTACTCCTTTGGTAAACCTGATACTTCTGCGCGAGCTGGGGCAAATCTAGACTAATAAAAAACTCCTGCACTGCAGGAGTTTTTTATTAGTCTAATGATGATCTTACTGGCCAAAGCCATTCTGTGAAACAGACTGGAAGAATGATTCATTTACCTGCCTTCATCATAACCTTGTTCTTCCATGGACATATCTGTTTTGCTGTGTAAGGTAATACTATATTTGCTTTGCTGCCTACCCAGGAATATTAAAATACATTTGAAAAACATTCAAAGAACATTTTCTGTAGCTCTTCGTGTAGAGTAGTTTGTAAGGTGATTTTTAAAACCTTCAGTCAAATTTGATGGCTTAGTGAATGTTTTAAACTTAGCCTTCATTTGCGATTCCTTTTTTAAATTTCGTGCATAATTTTTCTCCTGAACAAAGCAAACGTGGAAAAAACTTCAGAGCGAAACTTCCAGCTTAAGGTCATCCCCAAAATATTTTGTTAAAGAAATTACATTCATTTCAAGACAAGTGCTGAGCTTTTAACATCATTTAAGTCTTATTACGCGCCCTTAACCCTTTAACTCCAAAGAGTGACCAAGACAGAATTTCTCATTACAGTATCAACACAGAATCAAGCAGACAAGTGAGGAGAAAAAAGAAAAAACTCAATTAGAGAACTACAAGTTGATCCAATACCAAATTCTCCAAATGGAAATCATAAGTATTTTATGGCAGATAGTAGGGAGAATTACTAACGAGATGTTGGGAGTTAAAGGGTTAATAATAAATCATGGAAGCCTGAAGGGGTTATCTGTCTCAGAGAAATTTGAAAAGCTGACATCTTTGATGGGAGTATTGTCAATGAGTATGCTGACGTTTTTCTTCCTCCATCTAATCATTCATTTTCCTTTCACTTCTATTTCAGACTCATCCCTGCACCTGAAAAAATTCGGTCAAAGACCTCCTCTTGAGAAATTTAATCTATTTTGTCTGACAACTGTGTAAGTGATATTTTAAGATATCACGGGGTACACTGAAACAGCTCAGCGCTGAGAGGGTAGTTTCATCTTCACTTGCGTTTTTGAGCTACATCAGTCCCAGCTAACGAACTATATTCTTCCTCGGCGATTTTAAGGATCGTTAATACAGAAATGGATGCAAAGAGGAACGTCTGCTCGAAATCTAGTGAAAAGATCAGCAGAATTTCCGTGGCTATTTCAGTGACTTCTTTGACTCTTGTGACATTGTTGTTTATGAGGATCGAGTTTGTGTACAACAATTCGAAAGCGATGGAAACAAGGCTTGAAAACCGAATTCAGTGGATTGACGATGACCTGAAAACTAACATAGAGAGGATAGTGAAGAAGAGGTTACAAATTTATGAAACTGCATCCACAACAAGGAGAAAGGAAAGACCTGATGTTATCTTTGGTAAGTCATTGGCTACACGTACCTCAGTTCTGTTAGCTTTTAATAACCAACATTATACTGCATCACAGCGCAAAATGAGTTTTTTGTCCGTTTGCCTCAATTCCATAAACCGAACACTTGCCTTTTTAGCTATAATTCTACTGCCATTGATTGTGAAATAAGACAGAGCGAAAACATATCTTGAGTTGTTTTATATTTGTATGTTATCATTCTGCCAAAGGTATTTTTGGAAAAGGTCCAACTCAACTGACGCTTAAAATCTGAATTATTTTCTTTTTTCACATGCTTTGTGCGAAAGGAAACGCTTAAGAGAATCAACAATTGAACGTTTTTGTTATTGTTTCGCTTTACTCCATGGCCAGAAACTGTATGGTTACCGAAAACATCTGCTTTCACATATTACGGTAATGTAGGATGACATGCATTCGTGCGTCAGGCCACCGAAGAATGCAGATTGGATCAGGCAACATTTTGTTGAACCAAATCAAAGTTATGACTCCTATTATTTTAACCTCCTGAAACACAGCAGTATAAGTTCTCATTCCCTTAGACTAACGTGTTTGATCACCACCAATTTTTAGCACCGAAATTGTGACGACAGTATAATTGTTAACTATATTTTGGCGAACGGGACTTTTTGGCGAACAGCCCGATGCTCAGTGAGCTTGCTTGAAATCTCTCAGCTGAAAAGTCTCAGCCCTTGGGCTATTTTTAACAAAAGTTATAGAAGTAAAGGGTTCCTTTTATGAATCTTTTTTTCTTTAACTCTGACTCCATTTAATGTTGAGATGTCCATTTTTGCACCAGTTTTATGAGCATATGAATGTTTTAACATTTTTGTATTTCTCTTTTGTTTTTATTTTCTCTTTTCTTTCTCTTCACCGTAAACATCGATTGATAAACGACGACATCAATTTTACTTATTCTTTCGCATTTTAAATTTATTATTTCATTGATCCCATAAGAAATATTACTTATCGTAACTTCTGCAGGTTTTCTAAGAAAAGTAGGAGGTGTGTCATCAGTTGTCCGTGATCATCAAAGAAAGAGAAGAAATGCTGCTGCAGGAACAATAACTCTGCAGCAAGTCCGCCAGGAAATAAACAACAAGTTCAGCCAGTCCTGCAGTGTCAACAGCAAGATTTGTCAGACAGGACCTCCAGGTCCTCCAGGTGCCCTCGGGTATCCGGGGTACAAAGGTGAAAAAGGAACCACAGGGAAAACCGGCTCACAAGGCCCTCCGGGTCCAATCGGGGTTCCAGGCGCGAGTGGCAAAAGAGGACCCATGGGATTTCAGGGAGTTAGAGGCGACAAGGGCGACAAAGGGTCTGTTGGAGCGCCCGGAATTAGAGGAGAGACTGGAACGAAGGGTCGTCAAGGACAACAAGGATCTATTGGCTTAAAAGGAAGCAAAGGCAGCAGAGGATTGGTTGGTATTCAGGGACCAAAGGGAGAATGTGTTGTTCCACTGAAGATCAGTGTGTATCCAGTATCTCAGGAAGTCTTTCTGGACGAGCCTGTAATATTTTACTGTTGGGTTCAAGGCCATCTTTCGTCCAAGATAACGTGGCGTAAACTTGGAGGTACTCTATCTGATGCTACTGTGGAAGATGGTGCGCTTCGAATAAGCAGCATACAAAGGTCACATGCTGGGTCGTACATGTGTACAGCCCACACTGGTTTGGGTACGTTACGAATAATCAGCAGATTACACGTAAAAGGTAGGGTGTTTCACTTTTGAGCGATTTTCAGCTTTTCAGTTGTTCGAAATGTAAAGAGACCACTGTCGTTTGTTTTGCGAATAGGTAATACCCCTAATATAATCATCATGGTTTTTCATGTCTATGGATCAAGATTCTTGTGTGCCTTGGTTTCGGTAAAGCTGCTTGTCAAAGAGAGAAATGATTATGATAGGCTTTGTCTCGTCATCTTTAGCTCAGACTTCACCACATCTGTTTTTTTGTCTGTTAAATCGATTTTTTTCCTTTTTCAGAACCGCCTAAATTCACCAATAGTCCCCCTACATTGGTCGGTGTATTTCCAGGAGCTAATGTAACCCTGTGCTGCGAGGCCTCAGGCTCTCCTCGTCCAAAGGTTGAATGGTTCCAGGCTCAAAAGTCTTCTGTCTCATTTCCTATTTTTCAGGAAGATGGATGTCTTCTAATTGAAATGGTTAAAGAAGACGTAGATTTCATCTGCCGGGCTAAAAACAGCTTCGGATTGGCAGAGACAACAACCACGGTGATTGCAGCACAATTAAGAGGTATTATTTATTAGTTACTTTTACCGCAGAGCTAAAAAAAATATGTAAATGAAATATAGTATCTATTTTCTTTAAAGCACGTAATGTTTGTGTAATGGATCCAGCATTTAAAAAATATCCCAAAACCGCACTTGGTTAGCTCATGGTGTAGAGCACCGGACTGCTTTTCGGAAGATCGAGGGTTCCACACTCAGGGTCTTAAAATAACTGAGGAGAATACGCTGCCGCTACCATGATATCTGCAATTGGTTAAATATTTTTAGGTTTCTTCGATAAAAACGATAAACTCCTACGTCTCTCTGTACTGGTTAGCTGGGACGTTAAAGATCCCACGCACTTCTCGCAAAGAGTAGCGAACATAGCATCTGGTATTGTGTTCTGGCCTTGTTATTATTTATACCAGCCCCATTTAACAAGCTTTACAGCTGAACTAAGCCAGCAAGTCTAACTAATTGCAAATAAAAAGATAAATGATTAAGTAAAATTTGCTGTTATTTGTGCTTATTCACTCTTATTTGTTCTGAGACCAAAACAGAAATTGAATCCTTTTAAACTAAGCAATTAAATCAGGCTGTAACTCAAGTAGTTTAAGGCCCGGGTTTTATCTTAGTTCGAGACCCCCAGCAGAGTTCGGCCGATCCTCGATTTGAGCGTTCACGTTTTCGAGGAAGTTAAGATCGATTTCTCGCCTAAACTTTTCAAAAGACACTTTTTTTTTGCCGATGTCAGGTTTACAGGTGAATGTTGGTTTTGTGTTTTTTTTTCCAGAAATTAGCTCTAATTTGCTGTAGCTGCGAATTTACTAATGCGTACACCATTAATTAAGATCTTTCAAGGAAAATGCACTTTTTTGGTTTATTAACTTAGGGATTAATTTTTTTTAGTATGTTAGGGAAAGTTTCAGGAAAAATTTCCGCACAGCTCCATAGTTAATTATGCATGCACATCTTATTGGTGATACACTGAATAATAAAGCCCCATGTATGGATGCATAATGAAGTATGGGGCTGTGCGGAAATTTTGCCAAGTTTTATTCTCATCAGTATGGGATGAGCGTATAATTTAGAAACCTCGGTGTGTAACCTTTCCCATAGCGTAGAACACATTTGTTTATTTATCAAATCTAAATACCGTGGTACGTTCAATCCAAAGTCATAAATTTAACTGTGATTTGCAGCACAACACTTTTCTGGGCAACATTGAAATGAAAGTGCTGTGAGTCCTATGAGCTTCAACAAAAAGAAAATTTATCAATCAATTAGGCGACAATACACGTACTTTTCGAATTAATGAGGAAAATAAAAGCTTTACTTACACAGTTGTGTTCTTACATGAACAGTGAAAAATAGATTTTTGCTGAATCGATCACACGAGAGTTGTCAATATCTTTCTTTTCTGAATTCAGGTTTGGAGCAATCAGAAATACTGGCATATAATGGTCATTACCTACGCACTTTGGGAATTTGGTTAAACCCTGTTGTACAGAGCCAGTCCTCTTACTGGAAGCGGTGCTGGCGAGCATCAGATGATGGTTGGGACAGCACTACCTTCCACTCAAAGTGTGACAACAAAGGGCCGACAGTGACCATTATCCGTGTGGGAAAATACATCTTTGGTGGATACACCAGCACATCATGGGGTGAGTGAATCATTAAATGCTTTCACCTCATTTTTTTTACTCAATGAAACATGCGTCCACTTTTTAACATTTGAAACCACACGCGGTTAATTCTTTTCAAGAACTCATGTAAGCGACTTAAAGTCTGTCCTCTAAAATAACTTGAGCCTGAAAAGAAACTCTGACATAAAGTTTCTGTTGTCTGATTATCTGATTGGAATTAAATTTTGACACAAGATCATGCTCGATTAGGAAAAGCTGTTCTCTGTATTTACGCAATAACTTCTTCTACCATAGAGAAAGGTTGAAGTCAAAAGGGAGAGGAAAGTTTATTCAATACATTTTCGTTTCATTGTTGTTGTTAACTAAAATACGCTCGCAAACGCCATTTCTCTATCGTTTTAAATGTTCTTCTGGCCAATTGTTACAAATATTCACCTTCATCTCAGTTTACTGAAATAGTTTGTGACTCTTTTTTACCATTTTGCTTATTAGATTCCAATTGTGGATCCCAGTACAGCTCAAAGGCCTTTTTGTTTTCATTGGTTAACAAGCCAGGCTGGGCACCAGTGAAACTGTCTCAAACAGGAAAGTATAGTTATAGAAGGAGCCAACATAGTTGTTTAAGCTATGGACCCGCATTTGGTGGAGGACACGATATTCAAATTTGGAACTACGCCTCTTCCAACACAAATTCCTACACAAACCTTGGATTCACCTACAGTCCACCATCTGGCCACAGTTATTTCAGCTCCTTCACCCAATCATTCCTGGCAGGAAGTTACACTTTTCAACCTGATGAAGTTGAAGTGTTTTATGAAAGTACGAAGTGAAGTAGCGATGACATTCAAAACTCCTGTTTACACCTATTTACCAACAATCGAAGCAGACTTTTCTGTCTGGGTTGCCTGTGGGCTAAGGTGAAGTGTTTTATGAAAGTACGAAGTGAAGTAGCGATGACATTCAAAACTCCTCTTTACACCTATTTACCAACAATCGAAGCCGACTTTTCTGCCTGGGTTGCCTGTGGGCTAAGGTGAAGTGTTTTATGAAAGTACGAAGTGAAGTAGCGATGACATTCAAAACTCCTGTTTACACCTATTTACCAACAATCGAAGCAGACTTTTCTGTCTGGGTTGCCTGTGGGCTAAGGCCACAAACTGAGATAAAGCTTGGACAGATCAGTTTAGGTAGTAGCACTAAACTGTGCTATTATATATACAGGTATCATCACTTTTAGTCTTTGGAGAGAGTTCGCAAATTGATCAAAGTAAACTCGTGATCAAAGTGAACTCGTGGATAAACTGTGAAGAATATTATAAGAATAGGCAGTGATTGTACTAAGCTGTCAATTATTCTGTGATTCCAAGGTACAGAATCAAGCCATTATCTCCAAATTGATCCGCTTTATTTAACATTTATTTCGACCTGATGAAGTTGACGTGTTTTATGAAGCTACTTGAAGCAAACAAATTCCTATTTACTGACCATGGAGACAGTGTTTCCAGTGGCTTGTGGCCACAAAGATCAAACTTGAACAGATCAGGCTAGGTAATAGCACAAAACTTATCAATTATGTATACGGATACCATCATTTTTACTCGTAGGGGAGAGTACGAAAATAATATGTAAGCTCTCCTCAGTCTCATTTGGCCGTGCTAACGCTATGAAATTTGCTCATCGAATTCTCATATCCACTATTAAAAAGGGTGAGATTTGGCTCATCTTTCACGATGATATTACCGTGTTGCGCAGTATTTTTCGAGCCTTGTAGGGCGAGGGAAAATATGAGCAATGGGCAAAATGTCAGATCGTATTATTTGTCAAATCATCGATGGAGATATTTACTATTGCACGATTATTCCATTTTCTATTATTTCGGTGTGACCTTTGTGTTTCTCAGCTTTCAGTCCGTGCTTTTGCCTTGTTCTACAATGTAATGTCGGGGCATATTTTGTATGTTCCGTTGCCCTGATATGGTAAATGACGTCATAGTGAATAAGATGCTGAGATCCATTATACATTATACGTTAAATGGCAAAGGCGTCAATTTGAGTTTTTGTCTATAACAGGTCTGGGCAAGTACTACTTCAACATATCACATTGCAAACTACGTTCACGTTAAGGTTTTTATTTGTGAAATTCTTTGCTTGAGCTGGATGTTGAATTTGAACTAATCCAAACACTGTTCTAAGTTCTAATATAGGGACCTGATCTTACTGACCAAAGCCATTCTGTGAGACATAGACTGGAAGAATGACTCACTTACCTGCCTTCATCATAGTTTTAGTCCTAACACTGTATTCCCCGTGCTGCCCACCAGAAATATCAAAATATGTTTGAAAAACATTCAAAGAACATTTGCGATAGTGCTTCGTGTAGAGTAGTATGTAAGGTGATTTCAAAAACAAAACATTTTGTCGAAGATATTATATTAATTCCAAGACAAGTGTTGAGCTCTCAGCCTCATTTGACTCTAATTACGCAGCTGTAATAATAAATCAGCCTAGCTTCAACAGGTAATCTGTCTTAGCGAAATTTAATAAGCTGACGTCTACGATGGGAGTATTGTCAATGAGTATGGAGACGTTTTTCTTCCTCCATCTGATTATTCATTTTCCTTTCACTTCTATTCCATACTCACCCCTGCACTAAAGAGAACATTCGGTCAAAGACCTCCTCTTAAGAAATTTAATCTGTATTGTCTGACAACTGTGTAAGTGATATTTTAAGCTAAAGGGAGTACACTTAAACAGCTCAGCGCTGAGAGAGTAGTTTCATCTTCACTTGCGTTTTTGAGCTACATCAGTCCCCGCCAACGAACTATATTCTTCCTCGGCTGTTTTAAAGATCGCCAATACAGAAATGGATGCAAAGAGGAACGTCCGCACGAAATCTACTGAAAAGATCAGCAGAATTCCCTTGGCAATTTCAGTGACTTCTTTGACTCTTGTGACATTGTTGTTTATGAGGATCGAGTTTGTGTACAACAATTCGAAAGCGCTGGAAACAAGGCTTGAAAACCGAATTCAGCGGATTGACGATGACCTGAAAACAAACATAGAGAGAATAGTGAAGAAGAGGTTACAAATTTATGAAAATGCATCCACAACAAGGAGAAAGGAAAGGCCTGATGTTATCTTTAGTAAGTCATTGCCTCAGATCTGTTAGCTTTTAATAAGCAACGTTACACTGCATCACAACACAAAATGATTTATCGTTCATTTGCCTCTCAATTCAATAAACAGAATAATCGCTATAATTCTATTGCCGTTGATTGTCAAAGAAGACAGAGCGAAAATATATCTTAAGTTGTACTTTATTTGTATGTTATCCTTCTGCCAAGGCTATTTTTGGAAAAGGTCAAACTCAACTGACGCTTAAAATCTCAATCATTTTCTTTTTTCACAAGCTTTATGCGAAAGCACACGCTTAAGGTAATCAACAAGTTTTTGTTATTGTTTTTCTTTACTCAAGAAACTGTATGGTTATCGAAAACATCTGCTTTCACATATTACGGTAATGTAGGGTGACATGCATTCGTGCGTCAGGCCACCGAAGAATGCAAAGTTATGACTCCCACTGTTTTGACTTCCTGAAACACAGCAGTATACATTCTAATTAATTATCTTACACTAATGTGTTTGATCAGAGTAGAATTGTTAATTATATCTTACGAACAGAACTCTGAGCACGATGCTCAGTGAGCTTACTTGAAATCTCGCACCTGAAAAGTCTCAAGACTAAAGGCAGCTCCAGACAGTCCTCGGGCTAATTTCCAAAAAAATGAATAGACGTCCAAGGTTCCTTTTATGAAATTTTTTTTGTTCTTTAATTCTGACTTGATTTAATGCTGAGTTATTCATTTTTGCACCCATTTTGTGAGCATATGAATGTTTAAATATTTGTGTATTTCTCTTTTGTCATTATTTTCTCTTTTCTTTCTCTTCACCGTAAACATCGATTGATAAACGACTACATCAATTCTGCTTATTCTTTCGCACTTTAAAATGCATTATTTCATTAATCCCATAAGAAATATTTGTTATCGTAACTTCTACAGGTTTTGAAAGCAAAGTTGGAAGTGTGTCATCAGTTATCCGTGATCATCAAAGAGAGAGAAGAAATGTTGCTGCAGGAACAATAACTCTGCAGCAAGTCCGCCAGGAAATCAACAGCAAGTTCAATAAATCCTGCAATGTAAACAACAAGATTTGTCAGACAGGTCCTCCAGGTCCTCCAGGTCCTCCAGGTCCTCCAGGTCCTCCAGGTCCTCCAGGTCCTCCAGGTGCCCACGGGTATCCAGGGTACAAAGGAAATAGAGGAGCCAGAGCATATGAAACTCCTTGTTAACAAAAGGTTCTATCATATTTCCGACGGCCACGCCCATCAAAAGCTCTCTTACAATAAAATGAAAATTTGGTAGTTTTGTGCTTACTGTGATTTTCATGAAAAATTTCACAACTGGTTACCAACGGTTTATTAAACTTACATGTTTATTGCATCTTAATTACACTTTTTTAGTTCGAAAAACATAAATTAAGTCATGGTCCTTGGAAGTTTGTTTTATTAAGTCGAGTCAATTTTTAAGAAATCTGAGCGCGAAAATCAGACCTGCCAATGAAGACTGAGGAACAGCTTCTCACTGCATGCCGGGATAGACGTGTTACCGCCAGATTTGAAAACTGTAATAAATTCCCCGCGTTTTGGTGTGCGATTCATAAATATTGATAAAAATTTTCTCACGGACCGATGGCCTTCAAGTTTTACCAATATCTGTTTTTACTGCTGCTATTCATTTCCATTGAAAGAAGTGAATCGGCTGGGAACGATTCAGGAGAGCAGGGAAGCAGTTCATCAGGTGATTCTGTTCCTTCGTTCTCGTACGAAATAAACAAGTAAGTATATAAAATAATATTATTACTTTAAATTTTAACACTGTAAAGGGTACCGTCGGAAAAGGTAGTTGAGCTCGGAAAAGGAGTAAATGACATCGAATACAAGCGCCGTAACCGGCTCTAGAAGTAGGAAATACTCTTCCCGTAATGTCAACAATTCTAAAGTAAGATTGTGTTACATGTTTTTTATGTTAGCGGCATTTAAAATAGATTTACCGATGTTCCATTTTTTTCCTTTAGTTTCCTCATTTACACCATATCGAAGGAGAAAAAGAGTGATGACGGTGAAGGTAACGATTCTCCTATAGCATCTGTCGTGAAGAAAATTTTGGAAGATTCAGGAGCACATAATGTGGAAGTAAACAAACGCATTTTGAACGTTTTTAAGAAAAAGATATCAATCCTCCATACAGCGTTCAAGCGGGCAAGCAAATCAGGCGGAAAAGCCCTGAAGAAATTAGTTAACGGGTGGAAATTTGGACCAAATTATAAATTAAAAGTGTTCTACAACGAAGTTGACGTTTTGAAATTAAAGGGTGATTGCGATCGGCTGAGAGGTGAGAAAAGAGCACTCGAGGAGTGCGTGACTGAGCAAGCAGCTAAACGGATTTGCCTTGAAGAGAAATTGAAAACTGCCCTGGAAAAGTCACAGAAGAAAGACGAAGAGAGCAAGACACGATTTAAACGTTTGGCGAAAAAGGTTGCAGACATGTGCTTGGAAAAAAGGTCAAGAGGCCCAGCAAAGAAAAAATCTTTTCGGCAGTACACCCGACAACATCAGGCACGTGTCAAAAAATAGTTGAAGGAACAATGTCACACAACCCTGTCATTCCTTGGTTTATATAATTATGTTGCCACCAAGGTAGATGTCTTCAATGAGGACACTGGTAAGTTAGAGACTTTTAGTCTTCTTGAAGAAGGGGAACTTCCTTTTATTGATAGTACAGAAAAGGAAATGACAGACAAAGAGTTAGATGACCTTAATATGTGGATGTATCTAAAAGACAACTTTAATATCTCCAATGAAGCCTGGCGTGAGTTTTCAGTCAAGGCAAAAGATATGCCAAAACTGTCTCAGATAACAAAACGGATAAATGAGTTAAATACTTCATGGAATTTGAGTTGCACTCCAGGTGAAGCAGGTGTTCAAGTGAAATTTGAAGACAGCCTTCGAAAACAGTTAACAAGACTAGACTTGAAAGAGAACACAATTAAGGTAAAGCTCAGTGGGGATGGAACACAAATAGGAAAGAGGTTGAAAATAGTGAACTTTACTTACACTATATTAAATGAGAAAGATTTAGCCATGGGTGAAAAAGGGAATTACATTTTGGCAATAATTAAAACAACTGAAAGCTATGAAAATTTACAAGAGAGTCTCTCTGATCTCAGGAATGAGATGGAATTGCTTAAGATAATTACTGTAAATAATTGTAAATATAATATCGAGTATTTCCTTGGTGGAGACTGGAAGTTTCTGGCTTGTGTTTGCGGCCTGGGGGCTGCAAACCAAGACTATGCTTGCATATGGTGTAAGTGCCCCAGGCTACAGAGGTGGGATACAAATAAGCAATGGTCTATAACTGATCTTAGTCTAGGGGCACGAAACCTAGCACAAATAAGTCAGTGTGCAAAATCAAAACAGTTCAATTGCAAAAATAATCCTTTGTTCCCATTTATTCCTCTTGATCATGTAGTCATTGATACTTTACATCTGTTCTTACGAATTTCTGACAATTTAATTGAACTTCTGATCAGACAATTAAGAAGACTAGATAGCATTGAGAAAAAGGTAACATTTACAGATGGATTTCCAAGAGATAAATATAAATATATGGCAGGTTATGAAATGCTCCTTAACAACCTGGGAGTTTCATTTCAGTGGCACATTGGGAAAGAAAGCAAGAAATTAGAGTACAGAGACCTGACTGGTCCTGAGAAGTTGAAATTGTTTCAATATATACAAATATCAACAATTCTTCCTACTTGTGAAAACAGTGCCCAAATTCAAAAGCTATGGGCTGATTTCATAGATATTATTGGTGATTTAAAGCTTGATTTTCATTCTAATGATGAAGTTATGCATTTCAAAGGCAAAATTGGGGATTGGTTAGGTAAATTTCTTGAGTTATACCAAACTAAGGATGTCACCCCTTACATGCATGCCCTTTATGCCCATGTTCCAGAATTCCTTAATCTATACACAAACATCGCCCACTATACTCAGCAAGGTATGGAGAAGTACAACGATAGGGTATCAAAGGATTACTTTTGATCTACCAACCACAGGGGAATTGCTGCACTCAAACAATTATTTCTGAAGAAAAATAGAATACAATACCTGGAGGCAGCTGGGTATTCCAGGGTCAA